TTGCGTCCCAAAATCACCCCCCTCCGTCCCCCACTCAACTCAGCCTTGCTTACTGACCTCTACGTCCCTCCTGCTGCTGAGACCTAACCACAATCTCACAATCTCTCCGCAGCCCAACCATACGCGCCAACCCGTTGACTAAGGCTGTCGAGCCCCACTGGTGCGTGAATAGGCAGTTTCAGTGGACAACGGTTCCGTATGGCATACTACCTACAACAACACAATATCTGCCCAACCACCCGTCATTCACGCAATATACACAGGAACGTAATGACTGCAAATACTATGCAACCTATACAGATAACCTACAGTCTCTTCAAGTTTTATAGTATTAAATGCATTTGATCTGATTCAGCAGTATTATAAAAGGTAAGCATTATGTAAATGCTTGGCTAAAAAGATGCGTCTTTAATCTAGTTTTAAACTGGGACAGCGAGTCAGAGCCTCGAACAGTATCAGGAAGGCTATTCCAGAGTTTAGGAGCTAAATGTGAGAACGCCCTCCCTCCTTTAGTGGACTTAGATATCCTAGGAATGACTAGAAGCCTCGAATTTAGTGATCTTAAAGAACGCGATGGATTGTAGGGCGATAGAAGGTCCATTAAATACACAGGAGCTAAACCATTTAGGGCTTTATAGGTCAGTAATAGTACTTTGTAATTGATACGGAACTTGATAGGTAACCAGAGATGATAAAATTGGTGTTATATGATCATATTTTCTTGACCTAGTAAGAACTCTAGCGGCTGCATTTTGCACTAACTGTAGCTTGTTTATTGAGGATGCAGGACAACCGGCTAATAAAGCATTACAGTAATCTAGTCTCGAGGTCATGAATGCATAAACTAACTTTTCTGCATCGGAAACAGATAGCATGTTACGTAATTTGGCAATGTTTCTAAGATGGAAAAAGGCTGTTCTTGTAACATATGAAATATGATTTTCGAAAGACAAGTTGTGGTCTAGTATAACTCCCAGGTCTTTTACCGTAGAGGATAAAGTAACAGGACATCCTTCTATATTAAAGTTGTATTGTAAGTGGTTTTGTGGATAGTTTTTTGGACCAACAATTAATACCTCCGTTTTATCTGGATTTAGTAGCAGGAAATTATGCGTCATCCAGCATTTTATATCTTTAAGACACTCTGTCAATTTTGATGAGTTAGTGTTTTCATCTGGCCGTGATGAAATATATAATTGAGTGTCATCAGCATAACAGTGGAAATTAATTCCATGTTTTCTTATAATATTACCAAGTGGCAGCATATATATTGAGAATAGCAGAGGGCCTAACACCGATCCTTGCGGCACTCCATAGTCTTCTGACGTTATCTTCGATTTTTCCCCATTTAAACAAACAAAATGGTAACGGTCTGATAAATATGATCTGAACCAGCTTAATGCCTGTCCCTGAACACCAGTGTAGATTTGTAGTCGATCCAAGAGTATTTTATGATCGATAGTGTCAAACGCAGCACTAAGATCGAGTAGAACTAATATTGAGATACAGCCTTGGTCAGAAGCTAAAAGTAAATCATTTGTAATTTTAACTAGCGCAGTTTCTGTGCTATGATGCGGTCTGAATCCTGACTGAAATTTTTCATATATCTCATTTTCTTGCATGAAAGAGCACAATTGAGCGGACACAGTCTTTTCTAGTATTTTAGACATAAATGGAAGATTTGAAATCGGTCTGTAATTTGCTAAGTTATTTGGATCTAATTGCGGTTTCTTAATGAGAGGTTTTATTACTGCCAGCTTGAATATTTTTGGAACATGACCTAAAGATAAAGACGAGTTAATAATATTAAGAAGAGGCTCTTCCACTACAGGTAACACTTCTTTCAGAAATTTAGTTGGTATTGGATCTAATAAACATGTTGTTGGTTTAGATGCAATGATAAGTTTATTTAGCTCTTCCTGTCCTATAGTTGTAAAGCGGTGTAGTTGTTCTTGAGGGGCGATAATTGAGGCTGAATCATAAGACACCATAGAGGATTGTACATTTACAATTGTGTTTCGGATGCTTTCTATTTTCTCATTGAAGTAGTTCATAAAATCATTACAGCTATACTGTAACGGAATAATTTGCTCGGGTGATGTCTGTTTATTTGTTAGTCTAGCCACGGTGTTAAATAAAAACCTTGGATTATTTTGGTTATTTTCTATTAGTTTGCGGAGATGCTCAGCCCTGGCTGCTTTTAGAGCTTTTTTATAACGTGACATACTGTCTTTCCACGCGATTCTAAAGACCTCTAAATTAGTTTGTTTCCATTTACGCTCTAGTTTACGAGTTTCTCTCTTGATAGCATGCGTAGCACTGTTGTACCATGGTGCTTTAGTTTTCTCTCTAACCTTTTTTGATCTAATTGGTGCAACAATATCTAATGTACTAGAGAAAATGGTGCTCAAACTGCTAGTCATTTCCTCTAGTTCATCTGTTTGTTTGGGTTCTCTGAGCAGCTGAGATAGTTCAGGTAAGCTATTTGAGAATCTATCTATAGTGGTCGGAAGGATTGTTCTGCCTGGTCTATAACGTGGCGCAACATGACAAATTTCAGCAGTGCGTATTATACAAGTTACCATGTGATGATCGGTGAGATCGTCACTTTGCGGTATAATATCTATATCGGTTATATTGGTTCCATATGATATAATTAAATCTAGTGTATGATTTAGACGATGAGTGGGACCACTGACATTCTGCTTGACCCCAAAGGAGTTTAATAAATCTGTAAACGCAGTCCCTAACGCATCGTTTGTGTTATCTACGTGTATGTTAAAATCTCCAACAATTATTGCTTTATCGGCATTGACCAATAGATCTGAGAGAAAGTCTGCAAACTCTTTTAGGAAATCAGCATATGGTCCTGGAGGTCTATATACAGTAGCCAAGGCTAGAGATAATAGGGATTTATTTCTTACATCTAAGAGCGTAACGTTTAGCACAAGTACTTCAAACGAGTTAAACCTGTGACCTGTTTTCTGAGTAACATTAATAATATCTCTATAGATTGTTGCAACACCGCCGCCACGACCGATCAGACGGGGCTCATGTTTATAACAGTATCCTGGCGGGGTAGACTCATTTAGACCGAAATACTCGTTTGGTTTAAGCCAGGTTTCAGTAAGGCAAAGTACATCGAAGCTATTATCTGTGACCATTTCATTTACAAGAACCGCCTTAGGTGTGAGCGATCTAATGTTTAAAAGACCTAGTTTTAAAAATTGTTTTTGTTCACTGATATTTAGATTTTCAGGTTTAATTACAATAAGATTTTTCCTAGATCCTACAGTGGATTTATTATTTGGCCTCACTAAACGAGGAATAGACACAGTTTCTATATAATGTTCTACACTACTTATATCAATTAAATTGGCACAGCAAAGACTGTGATTTGGAATTTGATTTTCTAGTCATACGGTGTGTAACGTCTTGGAGATGTTGTCCGACAGAACAGCCAAAGTTCACCCAAAAATGAGAAAATGATCCCATAATTTACTCACCCTCAAGCCATCCACTGTAAACCCTAACGCTCAAAATACTTGATTGGTTTGAGTAGGACAAACTTAAAATAAACTAATTAGTTTAGTCAAATTAACTTTTATGAGTATTTAGCACTTTCTTTTTCTTTCAGGTTCACAGAACTGATATATTTTAAGTAAACTGAACTGGAGTTATATCAAAAAATATACTGGCTCTTCCAAGCTTTATAATGGGAGTGAATGGTACCCTAGATTTTGAAGCATCCATCCATCATAAAAGTAATCCATACAGCTCCCGGAGTTAATAAAGGCCTTCTGAAGCAAAGCGATGTGTTTTTGTAAAAAAAAAAAATAATATATATATAATCCATATTCATAACTATATAAACTAGAATCACTTGTCACTCTCATTATAAAGCTTGGAAGAGCCAGGATATATATATTTTAAATAACTCCAATTGGGTTTGCTGAAAGAAGAAAGTCATAAACACCTGCTTAAGTGTAGTAAATTATGGTGTAATTTTCATTTTTTGGTGAACTAACCCTTTAAGTCACACTACGTGTTAAAAGAATATAACAAAATTATCAGAACAAGTAACATTTGTTTTAAAGAAAGATAGCAAACCATAAATTGTAACGTAATGTTTGTGTGTGTGTGTGTGTGTGTGTGTGTGTGTGTGTGTGTGTGTGTGTGTGTGTGTGTGAGAGAGAGAGAGAGAGAGAGAGAGAGAGAGAGAGAGAGAGAGAGAGAGAGAGAGAGAGAGAGAGAGAGAGAGAGAGAGAGAGAGAGAGAGAGAGAGAGAGAGAGAGAGAGAGAGAGAGAGAGAGAGAGAGAGAGAGAGAGTGTGTCCTAAAACAAGGTCAATACTCTCATTTACCTTTGTCATTAATTTGATTCCTTTTCATTTACGTGCATATGAAGTCACCACATCATGGGACGTCAAATTCGTACTGACTTACTCTGTTACTCTTCCCTTTTACTCGGGTTATTATTGCATGTTGCACATTTCTATGATGCATCATTGTATTTTATCATTTTTAAATAGGCCTATTGGATTTTTTAATGCTTTTATTGGCAGCCTTATTTTTCAGTGTTTTGTTTTTTTCTTCAGGCTGCGTTGACGCTGCTCTCTATGATAAATTCCTGTACTCGGGTCCAACTGGGTGATGGGTGAAGCCTGACCTCATCATAATGTCCAGCTGTCTGTATCATTTTTATGCGGCGTCTTGTTGTGATGCTGACGTGTCGTGTGATTTTCCATGTTTCAGCACAAACATTACGCAGATGCATAGGGTGCAAGGAAAAACACGTTGTTGATCGCGATCTTGAGCGTTGACGTGTACCCCTTTTCCTCTGTCCGATTGGTCACTTTCGACATCGACGTAATAATGTAGGCGTGTCACTGTGCAAGAACTCTAACTTTAAAGAGTTGCAAACACCAGGTCTCAAGACAGACCCAGACTGAATAAAGAAATTCACGCGAGGATATACTGATAACTTTTCCAGATACGTCTTTGTTTTGTACATTTACAACGCTTGTTTGTTTTGTTTTTAGTTCAGATATTAAGATGAAGTTCGTAAGATTTATTATGAGGAATGCTGCTATGCTAAATGTACCAAAACATATTGATTACTACGCGAAATTTTCTCCATCGCCGTTGTCAATGAAGCAGTTTCTGGATTTCGGTGAGTTTAAACATTTTTATGCAAAATACGATGAACATGACATTGGTCATTTGTGCACATGCTTTGCAACCATAGAGGATACATTCTTTTTTTTTATAATTTGGATTGATATCTTTATGTAAAAAAGAAATGTAATTGTACGCAACAAAAGAAAGTTCCAACAACAAACTCTATTGTAGAATGTGCTTAACGCCCGCGAACGCGTTCAACTGATGGGGTAACCATAGTAACATTTCGCTGCTCTAGCACTTTCCGTAAGGTTATCGGAGTGCCATTATTTGTAACTTTATAATAGATTTACACATCACTTATTCAATAAAATGCGAAAATGTATTGTTAAAAATATTTTAAATATTTTAGCTTTTGGTGCTATAGGGACGCCAAAATATAGGCTAATGTGTGCACGAAACGAACGTTTGTTCTTGCTGATATTCCAGTTATAGTTTATCGCTGATGTTCTGTCACGTTCTCTTTGCAGGATCCACAAATGCGTGCGAGAAAACATCTTTCGCTTTCATCAGACAAGAGCTTCCCGTGAGACTAAGTAACAGTTTGAAGGAGATCCACCTTTTACCTGACCAACTGATAATGACACAGTCCGTACAGCTAGTTCACAGCTGGTAAGTTCATGTTTTTGAGTATCAAACAAAAAGTGTCCCATGTCTTATAGATTGAGTAAACAGACATAAAAGAAAAAGATGAATCATGTTAAAGTATTATCTAATACATTGCTGAACATTATTAACCCATTAAAATGGTGTATTTTTCACGCGTGCATTCTGTAACTTGTCCCACGGCTCGTAACTGAACGATGAACTTTGCCCTAGTTCCCCAGCCTGAAATTTTCGAAGAATCTTCTAAGTCTCAATACGTTACACCACTCTGAGCTTCATCCTGTTTCCATTACTTTTAATCCATATGAATCATTAGTCTTACTATGACCCCATAATGCAACTGAATATACTTATTTTTATTTTTTAATTCAATTTGATGCTTGTTCTCTTTCTTACGCCTGCTCATAGAATGCTGTTTTGGGCTCAAATGCCATTACCGAGTACACTCACTTGTTTACTAGAGGGCTGTCTGAAATTATGCAACGTATGGCGGTTAACTTCCGAAAGTGAAATTTGAGAAGGCGCGACGTATAGCTGTGACGCGCAGACTTGTTTTCGAGAACAGTGTGTTCTACGGTACATGTGTTACCGCAGCACCGCGAGGAGGAGGGAAATGAGTGGTAACGTTTTATAAACAAATCAAGGGGGGAAAGTCATTTACATTTTATAGTTAATATTAATATCATCAAATATATTCAAAAGAATATCTAAAATTAAAATATTATATTATATAATACTCTGTGTGAGTGCCAGTGTTATTTTAGTATTATTTGTATACTACTATAGTATTCATTAATATTTTATTAATACTAATATTTAAGTTTTTTTAATTAGCATTAATTTATTTTATTTCAGTTTTAGTCATTTTAGTACTTTATTTATATTTCATTTAATTTGAGCTTTTTTTCAATACCGAATTTTAGTTAATAAAAGCACTGGTTTTAGTTAACAATAACAACACTGGTGAGTGCTTAAAATGGCTAAACTTGCCACCGAGCAAGCGTGAAAACATTGTGTAGGTTGAGGGTCTTATTGGAGACGTTTGTTAATGAAAACAAACTCTCACACAAGGAATTTACCTTGGCATTGAAGCTTTCAGCACACACATATTATAAGACTCATAATAACATTTATGAATAACATACACTACCGTTCAAAAGTTTGGGGTCAGTGAGAATTTTATTTTTTATTTTTTGGAAGAAAGAAATCAATACTTTTATTTTTCAAGGAATAATTAATTTGATCGAAAGTGACAGTAAAGACATTTATAATGTTACAAAAGTCTTTTGAACTTCCTATTCATCAAAGAATCCTAAAAAAAGAAAAACTGTACAACTGACAGACCAACAACTGTTTCAACATTGATAATAATAATAAATGTTTCTTGAGCATCAAATCCTCATATTATACTGATTTGTGAAGGATCATTTGACACTGAAGACACTGACACTGGTGATGCTGAAAATTCAGCTTTGATCACAGGAATAAATTACACTTTACTATATATTCACACAGAAAACAGCTGATTTACACTGGAATAATATTTAATACTATAACTGATTTGTGTTGTATTTTTAATCAAATAAGCGCAGCCATGGTTAGCAGAAGAGAATTCTTTTAAAAGTATTTAAAATCGTACCGACCCCAAACTTTTGAACGGTAGTGTATATAAAAAAAAGTACCAAGATTGGAAAATAATGACTAAACAGAACAAACAAACAAAAACAGCAAAAGAATTGAAGAGCTCAACACAGGAAATGCTTCCACATTAACTTTGAAACAGGAAGAAGCATCTAGAAGACTAAACCCTTACACATTTACTTCTTATATGACAGACCGCACTGAAACCCACTCAAAACCCTAAAAAACCCTTTTAATCTGAGAATTTACATTCTGAAACAAACCTAAAACCTACCCTTACGCCTGAAAACCCGTTCAATCGGAAACCTACATTCAACAAATCAGGTTTGGTCCCACTTGGATGTGGGCGGGGTTGGAAGTCCAGCGCGCCCTACTTGATTTGTGGCACCATCTTGATAGTGTACAAGTTAACCTTTCATCCTGTTTGTCTTCTCTCTCTTACCTTCTCAGGTTTGTTCAAAGCCTGATTGACATCCTAGAATTCCAAGACAAGAGTCCCAATGACCCTAGAGTTCTTGAAGAGTAGGTTCTTCAATCTACATGCACATCCAACATGAATAATTAAAGCAGTAGTATTAAAACTAAACGGCAGGACTCATGGTGTTGTTTTGTTCTTTGTCCCTAAAGTTTTGCGGAAGCTCTGGTGACCATTAGGAACAGGCACAATGATGTGGTACCCACCATGGCCCAGGGTGTCATTGAATACAGGGATGCATTTGGGGTAGACCCTGTGACATGTCAGAACATTCAGTACTTCCTGGACCGCTTTTACATGAACCGCATCTCCATTCGCATGCTCATCAACCAGCACAGTAAGTAAATCTTGTCCTAACACCTGGACTTTCTATCAGCACTTATTGGCAACAACAGTCAGCACTTTGAATGCGCAGGTCATTAGATCTTGAATAATCCGGCCTGCTCCTGTTTGAGTTAATTATTCACTAGATATGAGAGAATGATGTTTTACCTCTAACCCTCTGTTCCCTTTTGTTTCCTGCTCTATCTCCAGCTCTGATCTTTGATGGCACCACAAAGCCAGGACATCCCAGCAGCATCGGGTGCATTGACTCCTGCTGTGACGTCACAGATGTAATCAGAGGTGAGTGCTTGAGCGCATACTGTAATACAAATATTACCCTAGCGACAAGTGCAAATGCAACATTAATGTCCTGTGTTCTGCTTCAGATGCATATGAGTGTGCTAAAATGCTCTGTGAGCAGAATTACCTCGGATCCCCTGAGCTGGAGCTTGCAGAGATGAACGGTGAGGAACAGATCATTCTCCAGACTATGCAGACTATAAACCACATTCCATCTAGTAACCTAATGTTCACAAACTTCATTGTATCTTATTATAATATTTGTTGTCTGTTGCAGCAAAAAACAAGTCGCAACCAATCGAGATATCCTACGTTCCTTCTCATCTTTACCACATGGTTTTTGAGCTCTTCAAGGTAGACATGGTGCTTTATTTCAGATTCACATGGATTGAAGATATAATTATAGATTGTAAATATATCATTTTTGATGTCTCCCCCTCTCTAGAATGCAATGAGGGCTACTGTTGAGAATCATGAAACAAGCAGCACATTGCCACCAATCAAAGTCAAGGTTGCTCTAGGCAGGCAGGACCTGTCGATCAAGGTGCGTAAATGAAAGTTCAAGTCTTAAGAGAAATTTGGCAGTGAGAATCATTTTTATCTCGACCTATTACCTTGTGTGAGGTCACACCGCCACCGCCTTGTTTGAATCATTCGTCTTAACCTGCCCTAGATCCAGCGATAACTGATAATAACGTTATATAAACTCTCTTAAAGATTAATATTCTAACCACCCTTGATCATCTTTCAAATGAACCAGATCAGCTTTGACTCGTATTAATGATACCGTCAACCTTTGCCCTGCTTGGTGGCTAAAGAGCGCAACAAAGCAGACATTGAAATGCTATATCCATGCTACTTAGCTGATATATATATATACATATACAAGAGTCAATCCCTTAGTCTCAGTCTTGACGCAACCCAAACATATTTGTCATCTGATGTAATGCAGCTCAAAAAACACATTATTGTTCTCTAAACATTCACTTTTTCATGTTCCAGATCAGTGACAGGGGTGGTGGCGTTCCTTTCAGGAAGATTGATAGACTTTTTAGCTACATGTATTCGACGGCGCCCAGACCTACTCTTGGTGACCATCAACGGACCCCAATGGTGAGAGCATAGGACACTCTTTAACACTTCATAATAACAGTCATGTACATGTGTTTCAAACCTGCCCTGTTATTCCCTCAGGCTGGCTTTGGTCATGGCCTTCCCATCTCCCGCCTGTACGCACGCTACTTCCAAGGTGATCTCCAGCTTTATCCAATGGAGGGCTATGGTACAGATGCTGTTATTCAGCTGAAGGTAAGATCATAAAATAAAGGGTTAGTTTGCATAAATATAGAAATGATGTTCATTCACTCATCCTCATGCTGTTCCAAACCCATACACTCTTCAAAAGGTCTTAAAATGGTCTTTTTCACTTAGAAAAAAAAAATTTATTTAAAGAACTGTTCACTGAAAGGTTCTTTGGGGAACCAAAAATGGTTCTTCTATGGCACTGCTTTACGAAAACACTATTTTGGAACCTTTATTTTTTTTTAAAGACTTTTTTTGCCCTGTGAATATACACAAAAGTAGTCGATGTATGTTTTTTTTTAACCATAAAAATGAACCGAGTTAACATTATGCTGAACTTCTCCTTTTGTGTTCTACAAAAGAAAGATAGTCATACAGGTTTGGTACAATAAGTAAACAATGACAGAATCTGCATTTTAGGTTAAATTTTAAACAATCAGCGAGATGACCAATCATACTGAGAGTTTAGCTTACACTGACCTTATTTGTTGAGCTTGTACCTGTGCAAAACATCCTGTTAACTTTGGACATTACATTACACTCTTCAAATCATTAATCCACAATGACGGTCTTCTGCCCACAGGCCCTGTCCACAGATTCAGTAGAGAAGCTTCCGGTGTTTAATAAGACTGCCTTGCGGCATTACAAATTCAACCAGGAAGCTGATGACTGGTGCGTCCCGAGCAAGGAGCCACTGAACTTGGCTGCGTACAAGTCTGCAAAGTGAACCGCAGGAGTTGGTTGCCTTAAAGAAATAACAAAGGTCTTCAAGAAAGGCCAAAGTTGTGAATGCTCGCATTCCCTACCGAACTAGGGACCAATGACGGCAGTTCCCAATATTCTTGGAGTATTGTTGTCTGGGAACACTTAAACTGCATGTGGCCAGAATTTAAGATGCCAAACAGTAGATTCCTAAGTATAAAAAGTAAGTTATTACTGTGGTGCTGCTGAAGTGGGTGTTTTTCAGCAAAAGCTCTCAGGCACGAAGAGTGTGAAGCCCTGGAGGGGCGAGAGGTGATTAGATGCATGTGAACATGATTGAAGCAGAGTTAAGTTGCAGAAGTCTGAAGAGAAGTTTGTGTATTGCAAAGGAGTGAAATACTGAAAGTAAAAGAAATGCAGCTGGAAGGATAGGTGAGATATGAGACATTTCAGAGGTTGGAGAAAATGGATGAATTGTCATAAGTGTCAATAAAAAAATAAAATAAAAAAAGAGGCTGTGGCCAAAGACGTTTTTTCCATCTTTAAAGAGGTTGGAAGTTTTGAAATCATACTTGATGTGTGATACTTATATTTAAGAAAAGCATGTATGTTAGTATATATTAATAACACTGTGCTGTTTTGTTTCATTGTATTATGAATGACCACAATATTTATCTTTGTTAAAAGGACCCTTGTTGTTTGAGTTTTTTATATAAATTAAATAAATTGATCATTTTTCCTCAAGATGCATAAGCTGTTGTTATTGCAAGCAATTTGTAAGCATTTCAGTGGAAAAATACCGTTATCGCATATTGTTAGCCTCATAGCATAATTGCCCAAGTCATTTTGTCTTTTTTCCAAAGACATTGAAATATGACTTAGGCAATTATGCTATGAGGCTAGCGATATGTGATTGTGTAATCGAGAACATGATGTACGGGAAAATGTGCAGACACACAGTATAAGAAAACATAAGCTAATGTCCCAACCCTGTTCTTAGAAACACACACATTTTCGAACCACACCTGATTCAACTCATCAGCTGAGACTTTAAGACCTGAAATCCATGGGTCAGAAAAGAGAGACATGAGTCATGACATCCAAAATCTGCCCTACTGACAAAAGTGGAGATGTGCAGGACTTCCGGTTATTTTAGCTATAGAAAAACAGTCCGTCATGTTGCTTAATGTTGCAAACTGTTGTTTATCATTTTAATTTATTTGCATAATCAGAAACACATTACTTTGTATCTTAAATAGTTTTACCGTTTACTACACATTGTTATTTCATATATATATATATATATATATATATTGGGGGGAAAATAAAATAAATGACTTGATAAAACAAATATAATTTATTTTTAATTCAATTTAATCCTGATTTATTTGTATTACTTTTTCATTTCTTAATTATTTTCTGTATTTATTTGTACATTTATGTTTTTATTCTTTTTAACTTTTATTTGTTAACCGTTTCAGTTTTCATGTATTTTTATATACTTTTTTTTTTGTGTGTTTGTTTCTTTTAATATTTATTTATAACCACCTGCTTTCATTTTATTTACTATAGCTTACATTTATTTATTTATTTTATTTCCGTGTGCAAAGAGGGAGGTTTGGTCCTCCAAACATTCAAAGCAATGCTAGCCCTGCTTGTCCTGGTGGGGAAAAAAAGGGCATATGAGCATAATAGATCAATTTTATATGAAAGTTTAAAAATTCATACAGGGTTTCATGGTGTTAACGTGACCTAAACTAACAAACTTTTTTCTCAGCCTCAAGTTGTTCCAAACCTGTATGAGTTTCTTTCTTCTGCTGAACACAAAATAATTGAATTTGAAGAATGCTGGTAACCAAACAGTTGATGGGCCCTATTGACTTCCATAATATGAAAAAACAAAACAAACAAAAAAACTATGGAAGTCAATGGGGCCCATCAACTGTTCGGTTACCCAAAGCCTTCAAAATATCTTCTTTTGTGTTCAGCAGAAGAAAGAAATTCATACAAGTTTGGAATAACTTGAGGGTGAGCAAATGATGACAGAATTTTTCATTTTGGGGTGGAGTATCCCTTTAACAAAGGTGTTTTGCTGAGAACAGGGCTTAAATGATGAGCTGAAAACACAATGCATGTAGCCCACGTACTGCTCTCTATCAGTCTGACCCAACCTGTTTATGGACTATGATTAAGATTATGCTGATATAGGTCAAATATAGTGTGCCTCAATGTGGTATAGTAACCGTGGCAATCGGTTACGCCTCTGTCATAAAAAACAGTCGGATGGGACGTGAAAGGACATGACCCAAAATGCATCCATGCATGCACACCTTACGTAAACACTTACATCCAACATGCAAAACTAGACAGGGCAACTGAGCACTTGTTTTATATGCAAAAAAAGAGAAAGACGATCGAAAGATTATTTGTGCTTGCCATAGACTTTGACTTTTGAGTTGGGTTTAGTTGATCACATTCTAGTCTGGTTTAAATGGTCTAAATGAACCTTGTTTGAATGGGTTCTCTAAATCTTGAGTGATGCCCATAGTTTGGGAAAAAGCAACAAAGGCATAGCTTTTAAAGGCTATTGTGATTATTTTTAACATTAGGATGAGATCAGTTTATCAACGTTTATGTTGCAAAATCCACAAGTCAAATATGAAGAGAAAAAGAAAACTAAACCACGATGGAAGTTGTACCATCACGTACCATGATGGAAGTTGAACAAACTCAGGGTTATAGTTTTGAGTTGACAAAACCAAACCAATCTGATCAGGATTTGTTGGTACCATGACGCTGATTATCAACTTTCTGACAACTCAGGCTTTGATCCTGAGTTTAGGAATAACTATGGAGCATGTGCACAAGAAAGTGTGACATCAGTAGCGGACAACCAATCACATGCTCTAAAACAGTGCGAAACTATTCACTTCTCTCTTCTGCAGAATTGCACTTCTCTCTTCTGAGATTTACACATGCATTTACACATCAAGAAAAGAGTTGGCTATGAAAGAGGACAACTAAAAAAACATGTTGGTATATCAGCGCAAGTAAAAGTTGTGAAGTTAGTTTATATAGTTGATAATGTAGTAAGAGATAATCCATGGCTAGCGGTGCATTCAATTATTTGGAGGCAAAGAACCGCTCGATGCGAAGCGAGGAGTAAATTACTATAGCAATGAACACCACTAAAAGCAGAGCAAATTCATAGTGCCTAAAACACAGGGCTGGTGGTGCACACTAAACTGAAACATACCTGGCTATCCACCTAAACCTGCTTCATGGTATAGGTCCCAGCTATTGACTGATCCATTATGTTCAAAACTTTGACTCAATGCTGCGCCCTACTGAGTGTAAGTGGAACTGCCGGACATAACCAAAGTTTGAATAAAAACAATCAAAACAGGTATTTACTTAAAAGTGATATAGTTATAATAGTTACCCCAGAACTGCAAACACAGCATAAGTCATTCAAAGACGTTTAGTTGTTTAGGAAAAGACAATAAGTTTTACATTGAAAACTGATAAATCAATTGATCTTTCTATAAAATTCAAGCACTTAATTACTTTACAAAAATCATCCCTTGGTAAAAAGCATAGCTAAAGTTAGATCAAAATAAATGCACATATGCTTTATATGTTAATTGCTTTTTTTGACTCATTACTGCAGTTAGTCTTTCTTTCTTTCTTTTTTTCCAAACATTTAAAACCCCGAGACCATGCATGCTAAACACAATGGTAATTGCATTACAGATTGTATTGCTAGTGGTCTGTTTGGATTGGTGGGAGGTCAAATATAGTAGGCTAGGCCTCAATGTGGTATAGTAACCGTGGCAATCGGTTACACCTCTGTCATAAAAAACAGTCGGATGGGACGTGAAAGGAAATGACCCAAAATGCATCCATGCATGCACACCTTACGTAAACGCTTACATCCAACATGCAAAACTAGACAGGGCAACTGAGCACTTGTTTTATATGCAAAAAAGAGAAAGACGATCGAGAAAGAGAAAGACGTATTTACATAAAAGTGATATAGTTATAATAGTTACCCCAGAACTGCAAACACAGCATAAGTCATTCAAAGACGTTTAGTTGTTTAGGAAAAGACAATAAGTTTTACATTGAAAACTGATAAATCAATTGATCTTTCTATAAAATTCAAGCACTTAATTACTTTACAAAAATCATCCCTTGGTAAAAAGCATAGCTAAAGTTAGATCAAAATAAATGCACATATGCTTTATATGTTAATTGCTTTTTTTGACTCATTACTGCAGTTAGTCTTTCTTTCTTTCTTTTTTTCCAAACATTTAAAACCCCGAGACCATGCATGCTAAACACAATGGTAATTGCATTACAGATTGTATTGCTAGTGGTCTGTTTGGATTGGTGGGAGCAATGATCAAGTAGACTCAGTCGTCTTCTCACAGATCCAGGGCAAGGACCTGTAGCACGGCGCATCATACCAGCTCTTTATAGCCACACGGCTTAAAACATCTGTTTTTATCATGTAGCCACAGTCTTCATTGATATGGTTGTTGGGCTCGCCATCTTCCCAGAAACTATGGAGGAAAAACAATGGGTTAGTCCCAGTCAGAAATCCTGGTTTCATTACAGTCTGTTTGCTCTTAACAAGTGGAGACAGCATAATAAAAAATAATAAAAAAATGACAATGGCAAATTAAAGTGGTGCTAAAATATGTTTAATAAGGTTTTTCTCAACTTTTTTTAAAGGGACATTGCATTTGGCATTTTTTAATATTTTCTCTGAACAGTAAGTCCACATGTAACGTTAATATCTATATTCTGTAGCACCCAAAACAGTTGTAATTGTATGTCTATAGGACCATTTTATATCCTTATTAATTTAATCAATAATTAATCCGGCTGTAATAAGAATTTTTATAAGTGAATGTCTAGATAACCGCTTTGCATAAACAAAATAAAATAATATGAGCACAAAATAAAATAAAAGTCCTGGTTCCTGTAATTTTCACTTTAATAATTACAGTATATATTTAAAAGGTAAAATATCAATTCCTGATTCCCAAGCACTCACTAACATTAATAAAAGTCAGATTATCATTAAACATTGAGGATATATGAATAAAAAATGAGTGAATGCAAGATCTCTTATATTTTCAGCTTTTTACAAAGAGGAAGAAGAGATAGGAAGAATGAGATGATTCAGTGTATTAACATGGGACCATGTCTCCAAAACAGAAATAGAAAAATATGATTCAGTAGTTTTAACAAAATAAAGAAGTGTGAAGAGTCATTGTATTTTTTGACTCTTCAGTAGTTTTAACTCCATGTGAGATGTGTACTGAAGCTTGGACTTCTAGTGTGAGAGTTTTAACTTGTTAAGTTGTCAAATTTGACATTCTTACCCTCCAACCAGTTTGGTTCCATCCACCCAGTACCAGTCGTCTTCTACTTTTTCATCACTTATGCCAAACCAGTAAGCGTTCCAGTGTCCACGGGGCAGCAGGTTCCAAATGAACGTCTTTATCCGGTCAATAAGTCAAATATCATTAAAAATCAGTGGGGAAAAAAACCTTAGCAATCAATTTTAATGCCTCACATGTTTCGGCTAAGATCCCTTCCTCTATTGCATATTTAGCAGTTTCTGTTCTCTTTTTTACACAAACATATAGATGTGGACTGTCAGTGTTACTTGAGGTCCTTAGATGTTCTGCAAATATATCTGCATAGTTAAAGCGCAGTGAGATGCACAGTCTGTCCTCACCTGTTCCTCAGGTGTATGGATGATGGCCAGGTGTCCTCCATTCCGCTTGCAGTACTTCTGACTGTCTGACCAACTCCTGCCAAACACTGAGATGAAGTAACAGCTGCCGTTAAAGAGCTTCCAGTCTTCAGGGCAGGGACTCTTCGTTGGTGCTGGAGTGGTGCGTGATGCAGGGGTTGCCTCTGAAAAGACCCAACATTTTTTGACGTTATGAAATGCAAGAGATTGCTTGTTAATAACACAAATGCATGCACTTGCACCTCACGAACCAAGCTCAGTGATTTTGTCCTTCAACTGCGACCGCTCTTTCTCAAGTTCCCGCTTCTCTTTCTTCACAGTCTGCAATTCTTCAGTCAGAGCCGTTACATTAGCGCAGCCCGTCTGCATGTGTGTTTCAGAAGCGCTGGAGGGGGAATCCTGACCAGAGGAACGGCCCTTACCTAAGACGAGAAAGAAGAAATAAAAGCAGAAGTGGGTTGTCGATAAAAAGATGTCACATAAGGGATTTTGAGAAATAAAGATAGAAAGATGAAGTTTACAATGAAACTGATGTGTTTATGAGTTATAATTTTATTATAACTTGACTGTTTTACACAAGAAATGCACGTTTTTTTTATTATGTGCTTGTGTTGATCTGGAAGATAAATAGCAACTGAACTGTTTAATAGTTCGAAATAGTACCAAAATGAGTCGAAAGGAATCGAAAATAGAATTCAATCAAATTAAGAACTTGTGAATTGAAATCAAATTGAATCTGGAAATACACTATGTGGAGAAAAGTATTGTGGCACACACCTCTTCATTATTGAATTCAGGCGTTTCAATCAGACCCATTGTCACAGTTGTATAAAATCAAGCACATGCAATCTGCATTTACAAACATTTGTGAAAAAAGGGTTCATCAAAGAGCTCAATGAATTCAAGAGTGGTATTGTGATGGGATGCCACCTTTGCAATAAGTCAGTTTGTATAATTTCATCCCTGGTAGATATTCCACGACCAACTGTCTGTATTGGAAAGTGGAAGCGTTTTAGGAACAGCAGCGACTCAAGCATGAAGCGGAAGACCATGTAAAGTCATAGAGCTCAACCGAGTGCTGAGGTGTGTAAAAGTCCCCAACGCTCAGTTGGTTCCAGAGCTAAAGAGTTCCAAACTTCCACTGGCAATAATATCAGCACAAATACTGTGTGGCAGGAGCTTCATGGAATGGGTTTCCATGTTGTGGAAAGCCTTCGCAGAGGAGTGAAAGGGGAGGGACCCATTTCATATTAATGTCTATGTATTTAGAATGCAATGTCATTAAAGTATTTGTTGGTGTGAAATGTTTCGCATTACTTTTGTCCTAATGCTCAGCCCTACTTGTTAATAAACACAATCACACCAAATTGCGCAAGTCATGTATGTGAGAAAGGAGAAGTACCACTGTGAATACTTGTGACCACCAGGATCATGAGTAAGATGAGGCAGAAGGCAGTCAGGCATGCTGTTGCCACTTTGAAGGGTTCTTGGCAAAATCGCTGTCCACTTTTACCTGCAGCATTCTGTAATACTGTGAACAAACAAATAAAACAACGATTTACAATATAACAATTGTGTAAAAACGGCCAAGTCTAACAATGCACTTTTTTACACAATGTTAAACAAATGAAGCATTTTTACATAACATTTATTTCACAAGAAATAAAAGCTTTTGAAAACTTTTTTGGATTACATGTTGTCACCCATTTCAGTGAATGATTTACAGTATTTTCCACTGCCAGGGTAACTCAAACCCTGAGAGTATCGATGAGTACTTTATCAAATAACGTTGTGTGTTTGTCAAGCAGGATTTTTTTTTTTTTTTTTTGCATAAATGATAAACATTTAAAACAACTGGACATTTATGGAGCAACTGAGGTTGAATAATTGCCCAAAAAGGTAACAAATGTTCATATTCAGGAAAGTGTAAAAAGTAATCCTTTAGAATCATCAGTTGAGAAACACATATTGGTCAATGTAATAGTGGTTTGACCCTGGAAAAATTTAACAAACATCCTGTTTGAAGCACATTAGGGTGGCCAAAAATTATGTATCTGATAAAAGTAGTATGCAACAAAACTTATACTTTACTTTATCAATAAAATAAATAAAATCAACAATTTTAGCAACATTAATCTAAAACTACTGAGTCTTATTTTTTTTACAAGCTTTCTTACAAGGTATGGAGAAATACAGGCCTTATTAATGTAAACATTAAATTCATTTCAGAATGAATGTTTGTACATAAAAAAAAAGTATACTTAATACGTTATACTTGTCTAATAAGTACATTTGATTTATAAAGCACATTTAAAAACAGCAAAGCTGACCAAAATGCCGAATAGAGAAAAAAAAGAGTCCAACAGAATAAAGAATGAAAACAAAATAATAAAAACAACAACACAAACTTAAAATGCCTGGAGAGATATGTTTTCAGCTTATTTTAAAAAAAAGATAATAGAAGGTGCAAGGCGGATGTCCAGTGGCAATTGATAAATGGGGGGCAGCACCTGAAAAGTCTGTTACCCTTAGTTTTTAAACGGGCACGAGGGAAAAACAAAAGAGCCATGTCAGAGGATCTTAAAGGTCTACTAGATGAATAGGCAATAAGAAGATATTTAAGATAAGATGGAGCTTAATCATTAAGAGCTTTAAAACAAACTAAAAAATTGGAACATAAAATGGACCGTGAGCCAATGGAGCGATGCTAAAATTGGAGTGACGTGATTATATTTCTTTGCCATGGTCAACAGCCTTCCAGCGGCATTTTGAACCATCTGGATGCGAGCAAGGGATGAATGAGGAAGACCCAAATACAATGAATTACAATTGTCTAAACGTGATGTAATAAAAGCATAAATAACCTTCTCAAAATCTATTCTGCATAATTCTGAGTCCAGGATGACACCAACTTGATGTCAAGGTTTATTTCCTGACAATAAATTGAAGGGAAATGATTACCAAACTCATTAATAAGACCACCTCTCAATATCAGGAGACCAAAGATAATTATTTCAGTGTTGTCTTCATTAAGTTGGAGAAAGTTATTTGACAACCATTTCTTAATATCCTCGAGACAGTCCAGCAAATGTTGAATGGAGTTGCCAGCTTTCAAAGGCAAATAAAGCTGAGTATCATCAGCATAAAAATTAAAAGAAACATAGATAGTGCCTCCTAATAATATATTCATACAGAAGCATATACAAGTTAAAAAGAAGCAGGCCCAGAATAGAGCCCTGAGGTACTCCAATAATAAGAGTTGAGTATGAGGAAAACTTACCCATGCCTTACGATGTCTTAGACATGAACTAAGACATCGTAAGGCAGTATCCCTTGATACCAATTAAATGTTCTAAATGCCAAAGAAGAATATTATCATCAACAGTATTAAAGACAGCGGTAAGATCGAGTAACATCAATACAACATTGAACAAATGGCTATCACTTTATCATCAAAAAACATTCAAATATTTTTCACAAAGTTTAGCCGAGCGCTCCACATGAAATTGGCAACCTGGATAAGTTATTGAATTAATCATGGAGAATAAAATCTGAGGTCTATGACAGTGTGTAATTAAAATCAGATAAATATTTAAACAGTCTTTAAAAATCTCAAAGGACGCAGTTAGTCATGCATCCCTATTCCTATTGCTCATACCAAAGGTTTTGTGATTTGTATCTCCTTACCCTGGCCTAAATATAAAACTTTGCCACATAAATGTAAAATCTAGAGTTGAAATGTTTTAATCAAGGTTTCAAATGTTCAACAAAATGTCAACCAGACATTATTGCTATTTTTTTTTTTTTTTGTTAAAAATCTAATCAACAATTCTAGCCTTTATGTGACAATTTGCATGTATTATACACTTTAACTCAAAAAGCACTGGTTTTACTTTTCTAAATTCTAAAATAATATTTAAAGAGCTTTTTATTTATTTTTTTACAAACTTTGTTGGAGAAACACATGCCTTTCTACACACAGTGTAAATGTAAACATCAAGACACAGCACAAGCATGTGTCCATGTTCTGATTCTCACCTGAATATCGCACCTCTGGACTGATGTAGTCATTTTCAGGCTCGTCGATCAGATTGTTGTGCATTCCCTCTTTGTTTGCATACATTGCTCTCGTTTTGCACGCTATAGAGTCTCTCTGTTCACTGCAGCAGTTGCTCAACTGCAGGGGTGTTTTAGAACAATTATATTGAGTCCGTGTGCTGTGACGTGGGATTGGTTGACATTGTAGTTCTCTGTATCTCATGACAGATCCAGATGTTTGTTTAGCCAGAGAATGTCATAAGCAATTTCCCAAAAAAATGAGCTGACACAATTATTCTGTGCTGTTTTCTGTAAACCAGCAGCTTATGACTCACCCTAACTGTAAACATTACATTATTTAATTTGTTCTAATGATTGAGAAGCCACTCACACATTGCTTAATGCTTAAAGCTAAGGTGACTTTTTTTTGTTCAAAATTTACATAATAAGCGAGTACCTCATGTATCCATTTTCCAAATCGTGTTTTTGTCTTATTCTGTATCACTACGGTACAATATGTGTTTATATTCGGACCATGTTAGTCCGCTGCATGACTCGTCAGACATAAACAGAGAGAAGTAGCTCCGGCTGTTCTTCCGCAAGATGCATTCAGTTCTGTTTATTAGCGTCAGAAGTTAAGGACTGAAGCTTTAAGTGTTTTTATTATTTCAGAGAGCATTTTCTTGCTTTTCCATTTCTTTCCCTCACCCAATTATCAGTATGAGCATAAAAAATCATATGGAATGGAATTATTGAATAATAACCTCATTATTAATATAACACTAAAACAGCTTGACTCATGTCTTTCTGTCCCAATTTTGTACTCCACAAATCTAAAAACATTGATCTGTCCACAAATCCCTCATAAACCAATGTGCACAAAAACCTTTGAATAGCCTATTACAATGTCACAGATCACTATTTTCCAGAGACACAACATTAGTGCAATCAACCTCAAAACTATTTCAACTGACTAAATCTTGAATGTGGATATTCAGATGCCAGATTACAGTTCAAATAACAGTTTCCAACTATTCTGATCCATGCTTAACAATTACTGTGTTTAAAACAAGTAGAATCGATCCTCACATCCTCACCTTATCTTACTCAATATTTACACTACCGTTCAAAAGTTTGGGGTCGGTACGATTTTAAATACTTTTAAAAGAATTCTCTTCTGCTAACCATGGCTGCGCTTATTTGATTAAAAATACAACAAAAATCAGTTATAGTATTAAATATTATTCCAGTGTAAATCAGCTGTTTTCTGTGTGAATATGTAGTAAAGTGTAATTTATTCCTGTGATCAAACAAAGCTGAATTTTCAGCATCACCAGTGTCAGTGTCTTCAGTGTCAAATGATCCTTCACAAATCAGTATAAAATGAGGATTTGATGCTCAAGAAACATTTATTATTATTATCAATGTTGAAACAGTTGTTGGTCTGTCAGTTGTACAGTTTTTTTTTTTTTTTTTTAGGATTCTTTGATGAATAGGAAGTTCAAAAGACTTTTGTAACATTATAAATGTCTTTACTGTCACTTTCGATCAAATTAATTATTCCTTGATAAATAAAAGTATTGATTTCTTTCCTCCAAAAAATAAAAATAAAATTCTCACTGACCCCAAACTTTTGAACGGTAGTGTAAATGCTGAAACGCAGAAAATTTGTTCAACCAGAGTTGCAGCCGTTCCCTCTGACACTTAAAGCTTGTGTTCGTGAAATTTGGAGTTTGGTGGCATGCCTGAATTAGTTGATAAAGATAAACAGAGGCTTAACCTAATATTATTAGATTATTATAACATAGCCTAATATATATATATACACTCACCTAAAGGATTATTAGGAACACCTGTTCAATTTCTCATTAATGCAATTATCTAATCAACCAATCACATGGCAGTTGCTTCAATGCATTTAGGGGTGTGGTCCTGGTCAAGACAATGTCCTGAACTCCAAACTGAATGTCAGAATGGGAAAGAAAGGTGATTTAAGCAATTTTGAGCGTGGCATGGTTGTTGGTGCCAGACGGGCCGGTCTGAGTATTTCACAATCTGCTCAGTTACTGGGATTTTCACGCACAACCATTTCTAGGGTTTACAAAGAATGGTGTGAAAAGGGAAAAACATCCAGTATGCGGCAGTCCTGTGGGCGAAAATGCCTTGTTGATGCTAGAGGTCAGAGGAGAATGGGCCGACTGATGCAACTTTGACTGAAATAACCACTCGTTACAACCGAGGTATGCAGCAAAGCATTTGTGAAGCCAAAACACGGGCAACCTTGAGGCGGATGGGCTACAACAGCAGAAGACCCCACCGGGTACCACTCATCTCCACTACAAATAGGAAAAAGAGGCTACAATTTGCAAGAGCTCACCAAAAGTGGACAGTTGAAGACTGGAAAAATGTTGCCTTGTCTGATGAGTGTCGATTTCTGTTGAGACATTCAGATGGTAGAGTCAGAATTTGGTGTAAACAGAATGAGAACATGGATCCATCATGCCTTGTTACCACTGTGCAGGCTGGTGGTGGTGGTGTAATGGTGTGGGGGATGTTTTCTTGGCACACTTTAGGCCCCTTAGTGCCAATTGGGCATCGTTTAAATGCCACGGCCTACCTGAGCATTGTTTCTGACCATGTCCATCCCTTTATGGCCACCATGTACCCATCTTCTGATGGCTACTTCCAGCAGGATAATGCACCAGTCACCAGATCTCAACCCAATAGAGCATCTTTGGGATGTGATGGAACGGGAGCTTCGTGCCCTGGATGTGCATCCCACAAATCTCCATCAACTGCAAGATGCTATCCTATCAATATGGGCCAACATTTCTAAAGAATGTTTTCAGCACCTTGTTGAATCAATGCCACGTAGAATTAAGGCAGTTCTGAAGGCGAAAGGGGGTCAAACACAGTATTAGTATGGTGTTCCTAATAATCCTTTAGGTGAGTGTATATGTGTGTGTGTGTGTGTGTGTGTGTGTGCGTGTGTGTGTGTGTGTGTGTGTGTGTGTGTGTGTGTGTGTGTGTGAGTAAGGATCATACAGTTTGGAATGACATGAGGTTGACTAAACGACAGAATTTTATTTGTGTGTTAACTATCCCTTTAATAGTGTCAGCATACAGGTTTGAGGCGTTTTAGGATCCATGCTAACCAGGAACAAGGTGACATGCCATTAAACATTATACACCTTCAACCACTAGATGGAAGCATATACATGATCCAGGACAGCCAGAAACTTATAATTGCAAAGCTAAGCCTTTAAATATTATTTTACCCATGGAAATGACGACTGCAATGTTATTAAGCTAATTTGTTGTTGTTTTTTCCCCAGTAAGTAAAAAAAAATATTTAAAGATTTACCAGGCAGTACATAACATTATTTATTTATTTTTTAAAGACATTTTATATTCTTACAAACTTTTTGAATGCATTTCAATCTAAAAGAGCGGTTTGGATTAAAAATAAGGCCCAGCAAGTTGTTGAAAATGTCATATCTTATCCTATACAACTCATTTAGCAGATGACATTCTGTTGTGTTTGACTGTGCTATCCTGGACACAACACTTGAAATACTAAAACGACAACTAATCCAGGATACTACATTGACCCTGGTTGTTTTGCAAAAATATATTAAAGACTGAGTTTATTTAGGCCTCAAGAATGAGAGGAGGTGATATCTACGGAATTTATAAACACTCATATTACTGATAGTCTCTCTTCATATCAGAGCCGTTCCATCTGGAGGACAGATCGAGGTTTAAAAAAAATACAACCATTACCGTCATTATGACGATGTTTCTGTCTGTTTTCATTATAGGAAGACGAGGAGGCACCAAACTGTTCTCATATGAAGAAACTGGCACCCAAAGCCCACTATAAAGCAACTGAAAAGAGTAAAATTGCCTATTAAAAGGGTTAGTTCACCCAAAAAAGATTTACTCACCCTCAAGCCATTCTAGGTGTACATGACTTTCTTCTTTCAGCCAAACCCAATCTGAGCTTTATCATGAGAGTGATTATAGCCTGAGTCTTTGAAGCTCCAAAAGCGCATGCGCATCCATCATAAAAGTAATCCAAATGGCTCCAGGGCTTAATTAAGGCCTTCTGAAGCAAAGTGATGCATTTTTGTAAGAAATCTATCCATATTTATAACAGTTAAATTCTAATCACTGGCTTTCGGTAACGGTCGTACGCAAGTCGAGTTCCGGCAGAAGAGTGACCTCTGACCCGACATATGGACAAATTCACGTAGCGGCCGTACACGTGAGCTTAGGTGAGAGTAGACGCCTCTCGCGGTTCAAACAAATACGGCCGGGCAACAAACTCAAGCTTCGAGATTTTAGACATCTAATTCGTTACCAGTGTTTTGTTTTGTTCTTTAAGTATGAGCAATAATAAAAGTGTATTTATTTACCTTATGAAACACCACTAAAAATAAAAAGTCAACAAGTGCAGGACCATTGCAGCCTGCAGGGGGTGCTGTAGCCTCTTTGGGTTTTTTAGGGTTTCATTCATTCCATTATAAACAGACGAACAAATACATAACAGCACACTTTACCATTACAGTGTAAAGCTTCTGAATGAAAAAAAAAAAGCCACTTAGCATATGAGACTAGTTTAGCTTTTGGGCTCCATTAATACATATCATGAATAGTTACAGAAACACCACACATTTTATCCATCTGACAACAACAAACCTCAGCAGTGAAATAAGTGAGAGCTAAGTGCATAACCTTTATCCTTAATGGAAAGCTTCAAACTATAATGGACACTACCACAATCTATGACCACACTCGCTCTGAAAATAAATCAAGCTGTCTCATTCTAATGGAGGCTAACATTAGTCCCTCATAAAACATTGATTTAACCTCTCAACCATGGCCAAACAAATCGAAAGGCGTGTGGGCAGTGTATCTTTTGTATCTCGACTTATTAAATGTCAGACCATACTTACCAATATGAGATTTTCTTGGCGCTCATTTTCCACACTTTTGATCACACTTTGATCTACATCTGTATGGAAAACATTGTTACTGGCATAGATGCACTGATTGGCGTGACCTAAAATATAAATATGTATATGTGCCAAACCAAAGTGTTTTGCTTGCCCACCAATAAACCACAGCGTAGCTGC